AATGTCCTTTCAGTCGAAAGCCGGTTGTCGTAAGGTCCGAGCCTTAAAAGTAACATAGATTTTTATTAATCAACGTCGATGGTAGTATTGCATTGCCTGGTCGCAGGTGGGGCAATATCCGCCGATGTTGGGCGCTACCGTAGACATTAATGTGATTCGTGAAGGAAGAGGAAAATCGCAACACATACAGTACTGCTCTGGATAGCGAAGGCTGCAGACTTGCGTTAGGAGGAAGGCGATTAGGATAGACTAGTGTAGACATACTATTGCCAACAGGTACGCAGGCAGGCAGGCAGGCCGTCTACAGCTTGTAGGATGGAAGAGGCTAAACTTGCATTTGGAATCCTCACAGCGAATCTAGGAAGGCGTTAAACACGAAGACGGAGATAATTACATTGTGTGGTATTTCTCGTACGATTTCTTCAGGCTAAGTTAATGGTGATTAGTAAAAGCGGGTATGTTTGAAGAACTCGGACATACGAGGTTAACAGTATGTCCACATCCGAAATAAACATTCCTGACGCTGTATAGAGATGATGAGCAGAGTAGATGCAGCGGCGCCGGCGAATAGTTGCTCACTGACGACGGCGACACATAATAGATAGTGAAGGTTAGGATGTAATGTGAGGTCGAAAGTGTCGGGGGGATGGAGGACACTAGAGTTTGTACTCACTTTATAAACCGCGGTCAATTGGGTTAACTTAACCGCTGACAGAGAGCGTCAATGAGTCAGACTTCCATGGTCATAATAGTAGTGGCAAGCGGTATCAGTACAAGAGATGGAGGCGCTCTGCCGAGAATCAGAGGAGGTCAGTCGAGGCCAAACACTTCATAATACGATGAGCGAGCAATTTGGCAACGGAAGTTTTTGTCACTTCTCCAGGGTGAGAATGGCCGTTGGTAGCGGTGTTTCCAAAACGGACCAGATCTGCAACAAATGCATACGCCTGCAAGCCAGAAAAAGGTAGATTAATCAGTCTTGGGAGGAGAAAGGAATCCTCAGGAATGCGCGAACTTTCATACCTATATTGACCCATGTTAATATTGGCGAATTGCGAATTGAAGCAGCCAGACAGGACTAAATCATTGCTATTCTGAATCCAATGTCATCCAGCGTGTAGACTATGTAGCCATACTTGTGTCTGGCAGTTCTGAATGTGGTTCGAAGAAGCAGGAATGTGTTTCATCGGCGACTGAAAACTGAAAACTTGAACAACACACTTTTTTCCAGGACGTAGTAATCACGTAAGGTTTGCGCCACTTCAGCAATTCACTGGTGACGAATGCTGCCGACTCAGATAATCAATTTTGTTCGCCTTCTTTCCAATGCACCTCGTGCTTACGGTCCATACGTTCACGTAACATAGTCACCGAACGTATAGTTACCGGAAGTATTGAACAGAAAACATAGAAGCTATACCTTCAGGAGTAGAGGGAGACGAGAGACAAGCTGACGCCGGCAATCAGAACAGTTTTGACGAGCCGAGCAAGTAATACCAGCTTCCCCGAAACTGTCGTTCCATCTTTTTCAAGATGACGCCAAGACCTTAATCCGTGTCCTTCGTAGAAAGGATCGTGTCAAGAACAATAGGTCCGCACAGAGACAGAAATAACGAGTAATCTAGAACAAATCTAGAATGTCAAGTCAAAATGCTGGTCACAATTAAGATGGTGGACCATGTTCCATCATCCAGGCTGTGCGCAGAGGCGACTCAATCGTCCAAGGGTAGACTTGAGCGTTCGGAAATTTCAAGCCGCTACTTCTGTTAATTAGCCTAATTGAATAGAAGAAGAAGATCACTCCACTGACAGCGAAGTACAAAAAGATGTAAGGCCAAATTCTCAAGCGAGAAGCCGTAGTATCACACATTCGCTTGGACCCTAAGTAAGTAGAGATAGCTAGGCAAGGTATACGATTACGGGCATAGAGATCCAATGAATACGAAGGTTTTCTCCAGTAGAAGAAGCCAGCGTGAGACACAGGTTTGTTTGAATTGGTGTTGGAATACCAGGAATGCGCTAAAGCCTAAATGTAGCCAAGACCGAGAGGATTGGGGCGGGTATGCATTTGACATTAAATTTATCCCCGCCGATATCTATACTGAGTATCATGTGCAGCAAAACGCCAGTTCGAAGAGAGTTTCAGAGGGAAGAGTTAAAACGGAACAACCCTGTACCGGCTAAACGGGCCGAGAACGCCCCTCGCTGGCTTAGTCAGCACCTTATATTGCAAGCTCTGTCTGTTTGTCTGCTCAAAACGTCCATTTAATTCTTCGCCACTACTACGGCGTAACGTTATTGCGAAAGATCTCACAACTCCCGGAAGTCCTGGGTGCAGGAACAGTGGATATTTGCGGAGATACAGAAGTCAGAGCACCCTTCATATTGATTATTCCGGTGAAGCCAACTGTCTTTTTCTTGCGTCGCGAAAACTCATCAGTATGCATAGAATATGGTTACAAGGCGTAAATAACTAACGGAACTGTCCAACATATTTACCATCGGTGTTGAGAAGTGTTTTATCTAGTTGTCATTCAGACAATGATATCTACCTCTACGACGCTGACATCTACAATGTCCGACGCCCACACTATCAACTATAATATCAGCCTACCTGGTACTTGGAAGGGCTTTACGAGAATCTGATGGGAATTCTATGAGTATGCAGTACCTCCAGAAAGCCGCCGGTTTTTGCGCGACCTGCCTGACGTGCTCTCTCTCTTACACTCGGCCAGAATCATGGATGGTTCCACTTTCTCCGACACTCTGATTTGCTCGTTTCTAGAGCTTGCGAGGGGAATGCTTAGTGAATGTATGAGCTACGATTCACTAACTAGCAGGCCGTGCATCGCTTACATTGCTTTCTGGCTCAAATATTCACTTCCTGCAGATCTGGACCACCACACGATGCGCGGCTCGCTTTGGCCTATGAATGGCTAAGTGCTTATTTCACCTTCCCTTTTCTTTCACTTGGGCTCCGCTCAGTAACTTGCGTCCAGGATGAAATGGCACACGACCGTTTCCATCCAACGATGTATCTCATGGATGACACATACCTCTGTGAGCAGACGAGTCCCGGCTACATCGACGCTTTCTTCTATTCCCAAACGTATGCGACAACTTAGTGACCTTCCGGTCTTTTTTATGATCTGAACGCTTGGTGACCAAGGCCTTCCGTGCAGGTAGCCGGGGTTTCTAGTCTGATCGACTAGTAATGTTGTGGGAATTTACTCACCGTGATGACTATAGCACACCGCTGTGGGTATTTTCGAACACGAATTTGGAAGTGTTTTCTCAAGATCACAAAGTGCCGGCCAGCTTGTGCCTGTCATGCACAGCCTCTGTTTGGGAGCGTTAATCCCGGGAAATGTATGAGTTGGTACGACAGCTCTATTATAGGGTCATTGCGCCATCTAGAGTTGCATAGAATTATGCGTGTCGCCGGGAGATTGACCATGAAAGAAAGAGATGAGAATGATGACTTCGGCACATCAGAAAAAGCGATCGTAGAGCTGTAGTGTGTAGAGTGCTGTAATATCAGACTCGTTCCTTCAGCCTACCTTAGGAAGGCAAATCCTTTCAGCGGCATGAGGGATTTGTAGTCTGGCACGTTCTGTGTCCGCGTCGGCACAGTCTTTTTAGGACCTTGAACGGTTGTTTATCTTACTATTAGGTCTATCGAGGTGCGGCGTGCCTGTGGCACGTAAGACACCGGCAGTTAAAACCACAGCACCGAGGAACACACATTCCATTTACTTCCGCAACTTCGTTACTTCAAGACGATTGACTCGGAATTTCGTCTGAGCCTATGTTCTGTAAGCACTTTGAGAGATGCATTAACAAATGCCGGGCCCTAAATTGATGTCATGAAAGGTGGGAAGTTTCGTCGAGCGACTCAGGTAAAAACAACCAAGTTGGATTCGCGCTGGTCTGGAAGCGTCCCAGTGATAAAGCAGTTAAAATTATCTGGGCGTAAGTACATAAATCTCTCCGGATTATGACACGAACCACAATGCATGTACGTAGTACGGACTCAAGCTTGTTACCTCCTGTTACTTCTTAAGACAGCGGCACGGCAATCAGAATAAAAGCTCCCTTCCCGGTGTACCTTTCCCATGGATCAACTGCTACCTGTCCTTGTTCGCTACAACGTTTCACAATTGTCAAAACTCTTTTCCACCCTCTTTCGGTTTTCTCCTTTTCGCGACCTGATGCGATTGCATTGAAATTAGCTCCAGCGAGTGGACTAATCTATGTAGACAGTAGACGGAGTGAAGTCTGTGATAGCATGAGTTCCCATATCAAGTTTGAAATTCTCGCGAATTTGAGCAGTCCACCGAAAACCTTGGAAGTGAATCAGGATCACCTGAATAATGGATTGAGACCGAGCAAAGAAGGAAGGAAGCTTCATCAGCCGATGGACTCCTTAAACAAACGTAACAACGTCCGTACTAAGTACGCTTAGTTACTCAGGGAATGTACGAAGCTATAAATGTCTGATGTCACTGGGTTTCGAGACACTGCAACCAGAATACATACTACACTGTCTTCTTCCTCAGCTCGGAGTTTTCCAGGTCATCTTTACAACTCGAGGCGCAACACTACTGCCAGTTCGATAGGTACCACCGCTAATAAGTCGAGACCTTCTTGGAGCGAGTTCTATCAGTTCATGAAGACTCTGAACACCGGTAGTGTTCGGGGTTTATATGCTCATGCCTGTTCGCATGTCGGAAAGACGTTCTTGCTCCAGCAGCCTGAGTAGGTAGACCAAAATAATTGAGGTAATGTCTCTGCGCTATAAAATTTCCAGTGGATGGCATTCCTGATCTCGAATACCTATGGATTTCAGCTCTTCACTATACGAACATTCCAAAAGTACAGCCATAGTGGTATTCATATCAGTGGTGCTGCTGTCGGTTAAGGCAGGAACGGTGCAATACACAGCCGTGTATACCTTCCTCTTCTATGCGTTCTTTATCCATCCATGCATCTCGCCTTTCATGGTACTTGGTCGACTCCAGGCCATTATTGACGAGACTACTGCGCTCTTCAACGAGCGTCAGCGTTTGTTGGCCACAATGGAGAAGCAGCTGAGAGAGTAAGTACATCCTCTTCCCTGCTTATATATGGCTTATTCAATTGGTAGTAGATTGCGAGCTGAAACATACACACTCACCGCAAGTCATCTCGATGCCTATCAACGCGTCTCGGTTACCGACATTCATTCTTTGGCGGTGTATGCATCTAAATCAAAAGATACCTGGAAGAAGGCTCGTGAGTACTACAAAAGGATCGCCGACTTGAAGGCAAATATAGAGGTGTGCTCTGAGAACCATACGTTGCGCTTACATCTCATGCTTAGAAGATCAAATTACTCGAGGATGCAGAAGTTAACGAGCAGGCTGCGCTAGAACACCTAGTACACAGAGATGATACGTCTTGAAGGTGGGCGAGAGAAATACATTCGTAGCTTGATAAGCACTCACAGTCCTTAAGTTGCAAAACGCCGCATGACATACCAGCGGCTTCCTCCCATAGAATACGGGTCTTTGATCAATTTCCTCTTCGTGTACATTTGCTTTTGTCTTTGCATTGTATATTGTTATCTCTGTTCTCGAATGATCTCCATAGTTCACATCTAATCTCCGAGGCTGATGGCAGGTAACATACCTTGAGTAGATGTGTTTGCGCGCCAACGAGCAGCCTCGTCAGCGAAGATTCATGGTCTAGTCGCAATTGAGATACAACTTGCTCCAGCTCCTTGGCCGGAGTAACACAACCAGGTGTGATGACGTGCTGGGCACTAAAAAATGCCGCAGGATGAAAGCTCTGAACGCGAGCGTCCATTAAGAAACTGTTTTTCAGCGCTCCATTCTTCATTGTCCTAGTTCTTCACGTTAAGAGAGAAATTCCGTGGCTTTTAGGGTGCTTGAGGAAAGCGATCAACTAGGAAGAAGAGCAGTTGGCTCAGCGGAATATCGCTCGATGGATCGTATCGTCGTCGTTAGCCATCACAGATAGTGGCTAGTATAGAAAATTGTTGGGCCTGAACGGTTTTATGAGCCGGATACGGCGCACCTCCGTACACACTAGTCTCGTTTATCTGAGTTGGCTATGATTTAGTTCATGGCCGTCCAAGTCTCGACGGGGGATGAGATGAAGAGACATCCTCTCTGAAAAAACTGTCGAGCGTAGTCCAGATTCCGTGAGACATTGATTAGAATACAAAAAGGTCTTTGACGTAGGCCATGCAGCAGCAAGACAGATATAATTTGAGGATTAGGTGATGGTCAGACGAGACGGCTGATCATTGCAGTCCAGTACCAGGAACTTTGTGAAAATGTCATGTCTTCAGATTCCATTTTGGACTAAAATTGCGTCCCGGCTACTTCGTTTATTCGAGGGCGTATGATAGAGAGTGGCGCAGAACTGAAAGGTAAGTGCCATCTCGACTTGGCGATAAACAATATATCATGCTCGTCGGGGATGTCCGAGTCTGGTTGGCAAGTTTAGATGGAGAGGGGGAAACAAAATAAAACCGATTGATACACACCTGGTCAACAAAGAAATCCATAGTCGGATGATTCATCCTTATATGAAGTCGTACTGGCTGCGAGAATTATCGTAACGAGTAGCGAAACCGTGGAGCCGCTAGCGATTTGAAAGCAGATATCGTATATTTTGAGGACATTTAGGAGAAAACGGTTGGGGTAAGATAAACGAAAATGATCTAGGAGAAATAGCAGTGAAAGCAGTGCTATACATTTGCGGGTGATGGATTCTCGATGAAAGGGAAGGAGGGACCTATTCGGATCCACTTGTAAACCAATCGTGCCACGTGGCTCGGACACCGATCCGAGTCTTCGACCGCTAGATCCTTATTGGGACCTTGCGCCGGTACCACCAAGGCTACTGCCATCTTTTTGTTCTCTGTTCGTTTAGAGTTTATGACTCTTCCATTTATCGCTAGCATCTCAATTTGAGAAATCACCGAGGAGCAAAACGGTACTATACCTCCTTTTCCCTGTCCCGGACACTACACTTAGGACAAGCACATAATACTACCCGAAGGACGTTGATGGCGGTACCATCAATCGCCACGCTCTGGGATTTGCTTGATCCCGTAGTAGCCTGTAGTGGGACGAACGCTATGACGTCATAATTGCACGTACATGCTGGGTTTGGATGTGGAGGAGTGGGAACGGGTGCGTATCCATTTTTCTTTCACGGACGACCAATATCTCAGTCAAGATCAGGCGTGACAGTCTTTATTTTTCGCTGTCGCCAGTCAGAGGAGATGAAGACTGTCGAGAAACGAAGAAAGCAGCTGATGGAGCTGTCTTCCGTTCTGGTCTTGGTATGCATTTCATCGATGGCTTTCTTGATGTGATTAGACATGATTGATTAGTTGCCGCCAAGTATTACATCTGTACCAACGTTGAGGCTATTATCATCAATGCCATTGTGTGTATTTACGTGCTGCCAGCGAGTGGACAAGGTACGTGCACATACCGTCACTAGCTCATCTCAAAGCTGATGAATCGATGTTGCAGACGCTGTGCTTAACCTCGAAAAAGATCCCGCCAAAAGGATTGACGCTGCACTGCTCGCACCGAACCTCCAGTCCAGCGTCAAAGCTCACTGAAAGCATTGGCTCGGCCACTAAAGTGTACCGCCGGGCCCCGTTCCACCCGCTTGACGAAGTTACTGCCATCCAAGGACGACTCGCCTGGCCTGCTCCTTTCCATGTACAGTTCACCCTCTCCATGTGAATTCAAATGATACCTATACAATAACCTCGTTACGCTGCCGGCTCCTGTTCAAATAGTTGCCGCCTACCTCACCATGCATCACTCGGGAGATTCGCTTTTAACCTGTCGTTGGTGCTGGTGGAAGCAAGTCATTCTTTTCCATTCTAGCGGCCCGTCGGCGACTCCGCTCGATAATCTCTTAATCTGAAAATTTCCATCGCTAAAATGATAGGCGAGACGGCGGAGGATCCCTGGATACACCATCCCCATCGTCCAAGATCATTTCACCGCTGCCGTCGAAAACGATGGCCCTCCTCTAGTCCATGATCGACGTTTTTGCTATCCCCTTCTCCGCTGTCGTTCCTCACGGAGAGATACATCAACATGAACGACTGTAACGCCGCGGCGGTGTGATTTTTGAGAGCGAACTTGGCTGGGCCCCTGGAATCGAGGCTGCGGAATATCGGCAAGCTGTCGGCAAAGTCGAGAAAGACCCGGGGGAAAAGAAGAAGCACCCGAGTACTTTGAAGGAAGTCTACGATATGCAGTGTCAAAGTGTTTGGAGGGACTAACATAATAGGATAACGGGTACGTCACTTCATTCTCGTGGGAATGAATCTAATAGCCAATACAGGCGAAATGGCAGAGCGCCGCAGCGTCCTTTTCATCAGACCATCTCCTTCTCGCCATATCGACGTCTGTCCGCCCTATAGAAAGGGAGTCCCGCGTTTTAGGAGTGTTGCGACAGTCCCAGAAGAGTCGATTTTATCGAGATCTGTTCTGTTGCTAGACGCCGCTCTAACGGCGATACTTCGACATCGCCCCTTCCCGTCCAGGAGGGGTCCATACCTCACAACATGCCTGTACGCATAAATCAAGGCCTTTCCGTTGTTTACTCTGCTCGCCTCTTACTGCCGACCCTAGAACACGAGGAAGAACGATTCTATGAGGAGAGGCATGGCCTTCCGCAAGGGCTGTCAGACATCGTTCCTGCTGTTCTGTATCGCGTTTACTCTTTTGTTACGGCGATGGTCGCGTCTCCCGCAGGAGGATCCTAGCATAACATGACGACCAATATTGTTGCCCTGATATTTCTTCCCGCACGGCCTCTAATCACGCCCTTCTCGACGTGATTCTACATGAACGCGGATACGCTACCCAGTACTATGTCCACAAAAAGAAACATCAATTCGCTATCTAATAGAGCAAGACTCGTTTTGCAAACTCTATCTAGGCTGGTCGCGGTGAATCATAGGCACCCCGTAATAACGACCTGGTGGATGAGGTACGTGCACACTTCGTAACAGACGCATTTCGTGGCTGATCAATCGATGTTGCAGGTACTGCTAGCTAGAGAAGTAGGCGCTGCTCTCACCAGCGTGAAGTAAGATGTCTTCTCTCCATCTCCAAGACGACTCTATCGGCACTACCATTGCAGCCTATCTTGACAACACTCACTTCTCCATGCACATGCATTGGAAAGATGAACCTCCAACGCACCTTGTCTGACGCAGCGGTCAAAGTCTTTGCCGCCCTCCAGTCATCTTCCTGCACGACCAACATGAACGACGGCTTTATGATGAAAAAGCTATCCGAACTGGAGGTTTACGGAGAGCGAGGAGCATAATGAACCAGTGGCCCGAGGGAAGCGAGAGCGACTGTAGTGAAGAGGAACCCGCGTTTCACTGACCCGGTAATTTGCGAGTTCTCAGGGAGAATAGGCCATGATCGCTAACTTTGCATCACTTGTGCTGTTTTCTCCCTAAATCAAATTTTCGCTTCTGCAAATCAGGGCTCAGCATGCGATACATTTGCCTTTGATTTTGAACCTCTCAGAATCAATCTGCACCTTGATTTCTTTTCTCAACCCTGGGCCGACGGTTATACAGTTGTGGACAAGCAAAGCCCGCCAATTAATTTCCGGCTGAACTAGATTTTTTGAGTGGAAAATAAGTTCAGATCAGGAAAGCCAGAAGCCAAAAACATTCAAAAAACACCTTCCGAAGTTTTTCCCATGACATTTTTGCGGCGCCAAAATTTTGGGCAAAAAAATCGAATTGTGTGTACCCCTTTTGGCCTCTCAGACATAAAGAGATATGTTATCTAATCATTCAACACAGCCTCAATCGCCATCATTCCTCGGTTGGAGACCGCGGGATGCTGTTTCTGCTGTTTCATGGCCCATTCTGCCGCCTTCCCTGTCAATCTTCTTCTGTAAGCGCTCATAAACCGCTACGATTGATTGATAAATCTCCGAATTGTGTCCAGTGGGCAAGCATCAAGATAGTGAACGACAAGAGCCTTTGACTCGGCAAAGGTCATCTTCGGAATTTGTCGAGATCGATGTTTGCACCAACCCCAGTACTGGAAAGGACTCGTAAATAAGTCTGTCGTCTATAGAGCAGTGTGATAATGCGTACCATTTCAATTGGATTTAATTCACAATGAAACTTTGGTAGAAACATGCACTCATGTCCACCCTCCTTGATGACTGTTTCAAGCATGGAAATTCGATTGACGAAATCCTCCTGTTTACTCAGAAGGTATCATTGAATTGTTGTGTTGCAATCTCATCCCATCTCTCATCAATATCCTCCTCCACATCGTAATCGGAGTCCACTTCAAGATAAACAACACTATCCAGGGTTGCTGCCAAGTTCATCCTCACTCTCCGAGTGCGAGGCCTCCGGAT